TTACTCATAGAATTCAATAGGCACACTCAATAAGTGATATGGACCACCTCTGGATGAATTTCAGGTCGAGGTCAGGTCAAGGTCAGGTCAAGTGAGGTCAAATTTTGAAGTTGGTTGTTAAGGCCTAAAAAGGTGTCTATCTGATGCAGTTTTTCACGGCGAATCGAATGGTGCTATTTTTGTTTCCGTACGAGGTCTAGAACTTCCAAAAAAGTCATTTTTCAAAAAATTTGTGTGTCGTGACGTCATAAAATTTTGAATAACTCCCACATTTTTGAACCGATTCTTCTAAAATTTGGTATGTAGGTGCACATAGACCACTTCTCTGACATATATTCCGGTTTTTTCGATAGACTCAAAATTTTGGATTTTATAATGATTTTCCCAAAATAGTCAGTTTTTTGAAAAAATTTAGGCCAAAATCCAAAATTTTCAAAAAACCGAGATAGCCATTTGATAAACAAAGTAAAATTACGTATAACCTTTTTTGTTACGTCTTGATTCCTTTAAAAATGAAGATGTTAGCGGCGTTTGAACTTTTGCCGTTTTTGAGGCGAAAATGGCGAACATGACGTCACTAAAACGTCAATTTCTCAAAAATTTTCCGACGGATTTCGCTCAAATTTTCAGGGAACGTGTCAAATTGATGTAAGAAAAGGTACTGAAAGTTTGGCGGCGCTGCGCGCCGCCGTTTTTGACATATCGCAAAAATTCGCGAGGGGGGGTAAAATTTACCCCCCCCAGCCCCGCGCGGGTTAACAGGAAATCCCAGGCAAAAATTGACTATTTCGGACATTACCGGATAAATGCAACCGTAACTCGAAAACTGTAAAAGTTAGATTGACCGCACAACACATTCGACATGTCTTGCGAACCGGTTTCGAAAATAAAAATGCATGAAAAGTTGGTGGGACAAGTCTCCTGGCGCCGATATTACCCAATTTGGTGGTGAGAGTCTCCATTTTGGAATTTGGATGTTATATTGATTTTGTCCCATTTAGATGCACTTGTTCGTTGAAAAATGCCTAAAACGTGGTTTAAGCATTATTGTGATAGATTAAAAAATCAATTTAGGTACTAGACAAAAATGTGGCCTGGTAAATAGGGAAAGACTGATTTGTGATGTCACAGATGACAATTTTGAACAGAAGCTGAAGCCTGCAAACCTAAAAATAGAAGCCAAAGCCCTGATTGAACACCTCACTTAGCTGCGTTCCTGGATCATTTCCCCTAAATAGCAATACATTAATTTGAATTAACACCACATCTCAATCCCAATATCCACACTTTGACTTACCTTCGCAGTTCGACTTGTTGCCCTTCGCAAAATCACCGTTTTACACTGCGCAGTGAGAACCAACCACCTTGCCAACCGCAAACTGAAACACCAGAAAATGGCGGCAACCGGAAACCGTGCTGCGCGCACGTGCTACCTATAGTGCAAATTTACAAATATAGGTGCAAAATCAACTTTCAAAGAGTAATTTCACTCCACCCCATCGCCATGCTGGTTTGCTTTTACGCTTTATTTCAGACGTTCCTGACGCCCGGTATATTTTTATGTCTCAGATAGAAATTTTACATCTGAATATGTTCTAAAAATACTCTGCTTACCAATCATGGAGTAGAATTACACTAGACAATTGGTGTCAAATTACGCTTCGTTGAAAATAACTCTAAGTGGAGTTTTTATGCACCCTGTGAAACAGAGCGTACAATGTATGAAAGAGTGAAAGTACACTTCTCTTTCCTCTGTATTCCATATAATGGAGTAGTAATGCACCCAGGTGTAATTTTGCACTCACTTTTTCAGGAAAAGAGTATAAGTACTCCTAAAACTGGTGTAAACCGGATAAAAATATCTTGCATGACGGGTGGTAAAAATGTAACCCAGGTGTACTTTTTTTTCAGTGTAGACCGATTGGCCTGCGGACTTTTTTGTTGGGTAGCCCCATCCCTTCTACCCCGTAATGGACTACTTTTGATACATCTCGGTGACCGTCGTGGCACGTGCCACGTGAAAAGTCAAGGGTGTTCAAGCAGTTTTGCAAAAGTAATGATTTTGAGAGGCTCATATCTCAGCAGCGGCTTGAGCAATTGTCTTGCGGTAACTTTTATAGGGTAGCAGCATCCCTTCTACTCAAAATAGGATACTCTCGATGCATGTGGGTCATCCCCAGTGCACGTGCAAAATACAACAATACGAGGTGCCAAATTTGTTCCCATTTCGGTAACTCGGTAATTACTGGGGCGATTTCGCTGAAACTTGGCATACAGGTAGGCACCCACCAGGCAATGCATTCCCATGTGTTGCGGTTAGGGTGCTACTGCACGTGCGCACGTGCAGGGGGCGTTTCCAGATCTCGAGTACGGCTGGGCCGATTGCGCTCAAATTTGGTACACGGTTGGGGACCGGTTAGTAGGGTGCCGTGCAAAAGTCATTTTGGACCCCATTTGCACGTGCGCACGTGCAGAATGCCGCTTCCAGATCTCAGGAATGGCTGGGCCGATTGCGTTCAAATTTGGCACACCGCTATAGCGACCGATTAGAAGGGTGCTTTGCACAAGCCCGTTGGAAGTACCTCTCGCCCTTACGCACGTGCAGGGCTCACTATCTCGCTCGCTCGTTCTTCGCCCAAAAGGCGTTTTACTGGTAGGTATTGTTTCTTTAGTTTGGCTGTCGAACATTAATTTATGGTTTGAAATATAATTTTATGTAAAATAATTGATATGAAACAGCCGTCTCTTAGCCCGCGCCCCGCTGGGGGGGGGGCAGAATCTGCCCCCCTCCCGTTTTCGCCGATAACTTCTAAACGCGTTACGCCAGCAACGTCAAACTTACAGTACCTTATCATACATCAATTTCACACGTTCCCTGAAAATTTGAGCGAAATCCGTCGGAAAATTAATGAGAAATTGACGTTTTAGTGACTTCATGTTCGTCATTTTCGCCTCAAAAACGGCAAAATCTCAAACGCCGCTAACATCTTCATTTTTAGAGGAATCAAGACGTAACAAAAAAGGTTATACGTGACTCTACTTAGTCTATCAAATGGCTATCTCGGTTTTTTGAAAATTTTGGATTTTGGCCAAATTTTTTTTTCCAAAAAACTGACTTTTTTTGGGAAAATATTTATAAAATCCAAAATTTTGAGTTTATCGAAAAAAACGGAATACATGTCAAAGAAGTGGTCTATGTGCACCTACATACCAATTTTTAGAAGAATCGGTTCAAAAATGTGGGAGTTATTCAAAATTTTATGACGTCACGACGCACAAAAATTTTGAAAAATGATTTTTTGGAAGTTCTAGACCTCGTACGGAAACTAAAATAGCACCATTCGATTCGCCGTGAGAAACTGCATCGGATAGACACCTTTGTAGGCCTTAACAACCAACTTCAAAATTTGACCTCACTTGACCTGACCTTGACCTGACCTCGACCTGAAATTCATCCAGAGGTGGTCCATATCACTTATTGAGTGTGCCTATTGAATTCCATGAGTAAAATGACCCATAAAACATGTGTCGCACATGCCCTTTTCTATATTTTGTTTTTGGTGACCTGACCTGACCTGACCTGACCTTGACCTTGACCTTTGAATGACATTGTGTGCAACGAATATTGTCTTGGTAGTCTAAGAACACGTTTTGGGCAATCAGTCTCAGTCCATTCTTCGGCAACTACGGTGCAAGGCCGATACTGTAGAAACTTGCATTTTGTACCCTTGACCTGACCTTGACCTGACCTCTGACCTACTTAAGCAAAAAAATTTGGGCTCTTAAGATCCGCCTTGTTGAGAGCTTTCGATTGCCGTTTTCCCCGTCTTTCTACGACCATCGGTTCGGAAGTTAGACAGGGGGGGGGGCAGAATCTGCCCCCCCCCCCCCAGCAGGGCGCGTATGGCTGAATAGCCCAGCGGGGCGCGGGTTAGGTTATGAACCCATCTCACCACACGAAAGTGGCAGAAATGACAATGATCAGATGACGCATTTTTCTTGGCCGAAGTCAGAGCGCGCGGCCCGACGCACCACCACCGCACCACAAAGTATGAGCAGAAGCCACCTAACAGGCGTGTTCGAAACCGCAGGAGATGATGATGAACGGGTTTATCGAAACTTGATTGGATGAGCCTATCGGTAATAGCGATTTTAGTGCGTGCATTTATTGTTCATAGTGGTGTGAAATGTGGTTGGGGTGCGACCGACAACCCGTCAGGGCGAATTTCGCACTGGGGTACTCAAAATTTGAAGAATTCAAGACGTTTCCATGAGTTTTGAAGGTTTGGATAAGTTCTAAAAATCTGGTTCTCCTTATCCGGGTCATTAACTCCATATGGTCCAGGAAAGCTGGCACACTACCTTTTAATTAAAGGCATCATCTCTGATCAAAACTAACACGATATTCGTGATCAGTACCCCGGAAAAACCCCATAGCAGCCACACTTTACGACTTTCTAACAGGTCCCGATTTTCCCGATTTTCGAATCATTGACCTGACTTGGAAGGTCACTCGATGACCTAGGGCCTTAAAATTGGATATCATCGGCTTCCTCTCGTGACGGGCAGCACGCTCGTTTTTTTTCGCGAAGCTCTAGCTCGATCAGGGGCCAAACGCGGGGGGGGGGGGATCGCACCAACTTGTATGTACCGTCGAAGGACGCAAAATGGCCTGTGCCGGCGAGGGTTAAGTCGCACAAAACAAAAGACAAAAATTTTCGAGGAGGTCATATAGGTATTCTAATGAATGATGCTTCCTACATACATTCATCATGCTCTTCGTAACAGCTCTGAACGATTTACGAAACTGTGAACTATTTCCTTTAACATGAAATGAAGTACCTAAACACGAGAAGCTAGCGCCACTGTCATTTTTTTTGCAATGCATTCGCAAAACCATTTGGAGGGCGCTCGGTACTCCGCCCCTCACTGATGTTCCCCAGCAGTGCGCGTGCTAGATAATACTGGGTTGGAAAGCTTAGTTAAACAAACTTCAGCAGTAGACTTCGCCTAAATACGTCATTTATTTCGCAAAAATCACGTGCATTAGGATGGTTCGCATAATTATTTATTGGATAAGCGGAAACATATAGGTACTAATCATCAAAATAGGTTTCACGCGCTTAAAGTTCTGTAAATATACCAAAGTATATAAATATCTTACGTAGGAAAAATATATTGCGAGAATCAACATTCGCATTTATAATATTATACTTCGCTGTATTGGCAATAATACATTCTAATACGTAGTTGTGTCGTTAACGGGCGGGCATAGTTTCGCAAATTTGAGATACTTTTCTGACACTGAGATTTTTAATACGACTCATTGCCCAAAGCTGATATGAACAGCGATATAAACAAAAGCAGTAATGCATGCATAGGGCGCGATCAGTGTTTTAATGTGTAAAGAGCATGATGCGTATATATCTGCGACATAACAAGCAGAATTAAAGTATGCTTCAAGCATTTCATGCATCCCATTCACCATATGTTTCAAATGAAAGTCGAATTTCAGGACGGATCTAGGTGGTGGGTCGGTGTGCTTCTCTCAGATTGGTTCCATCGCATAACGCTTAGATTGTAGAACGCTCGCTCTTATCAATCCACATCAAGCACGATCATTTGTCCGATGTAGTCGTCAGATATATGAAGTTTCTGGCAATGGTCGGCTGTCTTGGTCAGGCCACTTGTCTGGAAGGTACATACGAATAGGCGTCTCGGTGGTGCCCCCTGCCGCGGGTCGCAGCAGCCTCAGTGCCGACGCCACCTGACGCCAGGCCGTGCAACGACAGCTTCCAGACGTCGGGTCGAGCCTTAGCGTCGCCTATACAGTTCGGCGAGCAGCTCCGCCACTCGAGGAGAGCGGTGTCGCCACCTAGACGTCCGGTCGCTGCCAGCCGGACGGAGGGTCATCCGTTCCCAGCTCGTACAGAATGCGCTCGTTGACCTGCAGCACACGGTCGATGAACTTGCGGTCGCTGAGGGCGTCCACCGACCGCTGCAGCAGTTTGCTGCCACTGGTCGGGCGACAGGCGCAGCTGTCTGCCGGCCGCCTGCAGGGCCTCCAGCTGCGGCTCCGTCAGCAGCTCGGGCTGCGACAGCTCCGAGAGCGGCAGCCGACAGCGGCGCCGCTGGCCGTCCGTGCCGTGCCAGAACACGGTCAGCGCCGGCGCGCCGTGACCGGCCGGCCGCAGAGAGAAGTAGAACCCGCTCAGCAGCCGGCCCTCCGGCGAGCGGCGCACCCGCGAGCGCAGCGTGTGGAAGATGTTCCGGTACTCGGCGAACGCGTACGGGTTCTCGAAGTGGCCGCCGATGAAGATGCACGTGCGGTCGGTGCTGGTGGTGCCGGCGGCTGTCGTGCGGTTGATGGAGCAGATGGCGAACTTGTGGTTGGGCGAGAGCTCGTAGCCGTGGGTGAGCTGGCCCGAGAGGCAGTCCATCGGCAGTTCACCTGAGGACAGGAGCGCCTCTGGTTAGATGGGATAATCACCGACTTTTTATTCCACACAGTGCCACTAGTTCGTCATAATGTTCCATACGCTGCGTTTTTGTTGTTAAACGTACCCTTGTTATCAGTCGATGCTGCATTGCGATATGGGCCTTGTTCCAAAATCTATGTGGCATGCATTCCTTCATCTACTAATAAGTATGCACCTAAAGTAACCTCACCTCTACAAATCCATCTTTGTGGGACCGGTGTCCCCCCTCCTCCACCCACCAGTTACGACCCATGTCCCTCCTTTCGACCTCTACAACTCACCAGCATGGGACCCCTTTATCTCTCTCTACTCACCAGTGTGCGGTGGCAGTCTGTCAGCCATGACGCACACAGTGCGCGGCACGTGGTAGCCCGAGTCGATCAGCAGCACTCCGCGACGTCCGCTGACGCGCACCTGACACGCCATCAGGCAGTGGTCGTTCTCGTTCCTCTCCGGAGGCCGGCAGCCGGCGACGTACTCTTCAACGTCGTCTATCTCCTGAGGGAGGAGAGGGAGGTAGTTAGAGACGAGGGGTAGTCAGCTGTCCATGGGAAAACGGGGAATGAAGACATTAGGAAAGAGGGCATGAAATTAACGGAGGTATGTATGTACATTGTACCTACAGCGATAGGACGGCAAAAGGAGCCATGAGTATCGTCACTAAGGGAATCATCGGTTCTAGTATAGCACAAGCTTTATTTAGCTACTGAGAACTTTGGAATATGATACTGAATTCAAGGACAAAACTATAAACAGGCAAACCGTTAAACAAACCGTGAGCTCAACATACTCATTACTCAAATAGCATCGGGCATCAAGATCAACGTAAATATTTGTAAGATCGTAACCTAAAACTGCGCAGCATTCCCTCATGTAGGCACGATTAATGGTCATGTAACCAAAGTTAGACGGTTGAGTATACCAATGAACTCGGTTCAACGTCTACGACTGCCACACAGAGCTCACATTGAGTTCAGATTGTTTATCAATACTGCCCTGGCACGGGCTCAGACGCGTGTCCCCGGGGCCGGGCAACACCCGGTCACGTTCCGGGGGTCGTGACACGGCCCGGCCAACCAACTACGCACATCCTGTTGGACTGCGCCGCAGCGGGTCCTTATCTGAGGGTCCTTCTAATCTCACCTCCTCAGCCGAGGCCACGTAGAAATGCGAGGCCACCGTGCCACCGCGCGCCGCCACCCTGGCGAGCATGTCCTTAGTGAGTCCGACGCAGGTCAGATGGTTCGGCTCGGGGCTGATCTCGAACTGCTGGCGCCAGCGCTCGAACGAGCCCGGCGCGCCCGCCTGCTGCCAGCGCTGGTGCGCGCTGTGGAAGCGCAGGAACACGTCCACGCAGTCGTAGTCATGCTGCGCCAGATGGTGGGCCAGCAGGCGGTCCAGCTCGGCGCAGAAGGCCGTCAGCGCCGCACTGCTGCCGAAGGTGATGGCCGGCGGCGGGGGCGACCAGCGCGGCGCCGGCAGCGGCCAGCCCGGCGGCCAGCCGCAGCCGACCGGTTCACAGCAGCTGGACTCGGAGTCGCCGTCGCTGCCGACACAGGCCGACCGGGTGAGAGAGACGCCCTATTTTTATTTTAGACAATGACGGAGACACATGGCAGTACAAAATGCTGAGGAGATGTGGGAAACAGACGGGATATTTATCCGCGCTTAAGACGAATTAAATGCGGACGGAAATTTTGAACGGACGAAGTGAATGAAACGCAAGAAACGCAAGTAATTTTCTAGCTTGCCAGTTGCCAGCTAGAAAATTGGTCACAAATACTCGTGCTTGTTATTGTGTTCAATCCTTTGTCAACAGATTTTAGAAGTTCGGAATCGGAAACACCATTAGTCATCGAGATATTGCGTCGCTTCTCTCGTTTCCAGTCGCAGTGCTGTTACAGCAGTCAGCCTGGAAGCTTCCGCGAATGCGATGCAGCACAATAACGACACCAATTACCGCTATTCTGCAGGAACCCATGGTAGTTAGCTCCTACCCGTCTGACTCAGCGGACTTTCCGCCTGCGTCGCCGTCTGGTCAATTCCGGAATCGATTCGCCGCGTTTCGTCCCTCCGACGTGCCCGTTCCCATGGAGGAGGGAGGGGTGGGGGAGGAGGGATGTGAAGTCAGTCGGTTCCTCTCACCTCTCGTCATCGTCAGACGAAGACGCGGAGAAGTAGTCCGAGTCGGGCCAGTGAAGGTCCTCTTCGTCAGAGGCCGACTGTTTGGCCGGGTCCGCGGCGGTGGCCGCCGCCAGCTGGTTCTCCCGCTCCTGGCTGAGTCAACTGGGCCAGGTGCTGGCCCAGCGGCCCAGCAGGCGCGCAGAGGCCAGCGCGTCGGTCTGCTCGCAGCAGCCGCTCTCCGGGCTGGCCCCAGCACCGCCAACCCCTGTCTCGCTCGCCCATAATGTGTTGTCAGACGGTTTGTGACGCTCTGAAACGCAGGCATGCATGAATGGTCAGACGATATTAGTCAGTTGGACTAGATGTGACATTGATCATACAGTACAGCAGGGTTTTCATCGGGGCAGATTTATTTATGTCATATATTTATCTAACACAGTGTATAGGATAAGCTCATCCTCGAGCTATTTCAATCAATGACATAAATTTGCTGCTTTATTCGCGGTCTATTTCGGACATTTTAGGAATGTTATAAAACGATTGCATTGCGATGCAACCGGATCCTCTATATCTCGATCGGATCGGATCGGATCAGATATTTAGCTGCGCACATCCACACCCGGGGATCGAATGAGAGCGCCGGAATGAAGCAAAAACAGCTGCTAGTTGCGAGAAACAAGTTCACTTGATGCCAACAAATGTTAAGCGTTGCCTCACTTTTTGCATTATCCCATAAAAAAGAAAGCTGAATACAAAACAATGTTGCATTAGGATCGACGCCTTTTTGGAACGGATCGCATGAAGGTGTACCTAATTTAGATTACTTGGCAAAATGACATTCACGTTAACCCATATTTAGATTTTGTCCTCTGTGATCTCGCAAACTTTGTGCTTAAACCGTTAAGAACGCATGCAGCTGCCATGCCAGCTATATTAGTTCCTCCTGGCATGAATGCCGAGCTTCAGATTTTAATGCGATGATACTCAAGTGCCTACTCAAAGTAGTGTGATATGGGCAAATCCGCGAAGATAAAGTTTTCCAGATAATTCAGGCTCGCACCAGACCTGACAATCCTCAGACGTATCCAATTATAGACGTGAGCACGCGCTGTTGCGCCCCGATCTGGGAAGGTCGCGCGTTTGGGGTACCCAGGTCCCATTACCGTGTACCTGCTGACCCTGGTCAGGTGGTATGCGCCGGTCAACTCCAGCGAAAACCGGTCAATACCGGATCGAACTGAACCAGATTTAGCCGGAGCAAACCGACCGGCCACGGAACCTCATCCGTCACCGTGTTTGCGCGTATGTCAGGTTTTCCCCGTATGACAGCTTACGTTACTCGCTGGAGAACCGGCCACACATTGCATCACAGTGGCCAATGATTGCACCATCGAGCGAAATTTGGCAGGAAGCCAGGTCACCGGGCGGTCGACGCTACAGGGGGCGGGGTTTGGAGAAGTGTGACGTATAGCCACGGACCGGTCCCTGCCAGTTCGGCGACCAACGCCCGGCCCGGCCCTGGCCTGCGGAGAGGCCTGGGCGGACTTATCTAGGTCAGTTCCGGACAATGTCGTCACTGAGTCCCTGACCGAGCATGCAACAGACGGAATAACATTGCGTTCTAGTGTACGAGGGCTGGTCCAACCTGTTGCATCCAGACGCACAATCGAACTTTGGCAAATTCGCTTCAGATGATGGTGGAGAGTTGGATTTGTGCATTGGCACGTTACTCATGCAGCGTGCCATGAAAATGCAATGAAAGCGCACATGAAAATGAGTCTCTGGAGTCTGGATTGACATTGAGGCCATGAGGTCATAAGGTGCACTGGTGCCTGGCATGAGTCTGCCAAAGATGAGACAACGGGGAAGATATCGTGTCTCTTAAAGGAAAAGGGCCACCTTTAACATGGGGATTGAAACTGAGATAGCCATCTTGTAGCCCGTGTCCGAAAACCAGTCTGTCTACCTCCTTACGGCCGATTTCGGCCTCCATTCGTAGTTATCGGCAATTTTAAAAGAAAATACGCCAGGAATGCGTCCTTATCCCAGGAATGCGTTCTTATCCGACAATACAGCCACCTGTGGCGAGGCTTTGGTTTTTTACCAATCAGCTCCAACCAGCTCAGCTTTAACCAATCAGCTTATCTGACACAATCCGACGAGTCTGTCTTCTGAACGCTGATTGGCTTGAGTGTGACGTCATCGCTATGCCATCATACAGTAGGTGCCGCGCCGTAGAGAGTATCAACATAGTACCAATATGTTAAATAGTTTTAAATACTTTTTCGCGAATTGTGCACTTCTGGCACCAGTTTTAAAAAGAAAATGAAAAATAATAATGTCAAAATGAGAAACAACGATATCTTCATATTTCACGAAGGTGGCCCTTTTCCTTTAACAGTATCCAAACACTACGAGTAAATGTGTGTTACAGTGTAACAGTGTGCTACAGTGTAACTTACATGTGTTTTGTAACATAAGTGTAAATGTGTACTAAACGTAAGTGTTTATGGAGATAGACTTTCCGCGAGTAAAGCTTTACCTACTAATCCATATTGGAATGCCAAATACTAAAACATTATGTCAATAACCACCATGCAGTAAAGTGGGTCGGAGACGACAGAAGACACAATCGATAAAAAACACTCGAACACAGCGCATTGTAAAAGGCACCAACACCGTTCCCTGCACAGGCATATGTGAGCAAAGAACAAAGAAACTGAAACCACACAACGAAACGTAGTTCTTTACGTACTGTGTGAACAAATATATCGATATCTTTTTATTCACTAATTGATTCAATAGATTTTCCCACAAATACCCCGAATTCCACACAGCTACGCCAGCCCATAGCAACCAATCCCCAAAGGCGTCGTGCTCCTGTACTCACCCATGCAAGTGACGCGATCCACTGCGACGATGGGTCGTCGGTTGACGTCGCTGGCACCCGTGCGCATGCGTCGCTGCCGTCGGCGGCTGACTGAGCTGATCGGCGCGCGCGGCCCGCCCGCTATATAGGCGAGCAGGCGGGCGGCGCCTCAGCTGGGCGATCCGAGCCACGTCATCCCCCTCCTCCTCCCCCCCCCCCCCCGGTTGGCGAGCTGCCAGCGATGGCAGCTGGGCGAAGTGCGAACCCACACAAAGACGCCACAGACAGGGCGCATACCTCGAGCGGGGGGGGGGTAGTATACTGGGGAGGGGGGAGGAAGGTGTCCTCAAAGGCCATTATTGTTAGAGTCGCAAAAAAGCAACAACCACCGTGGAAACGACAAGCTAATTAGCAACCATAATCAAAGATCGATCAATGATCAGATCCATCCATCAATGTAGCTTGTTATGTTTATCAATGCTCACCTACCTTATAGTGAAACATGGGGCAGCCAAACCATTCCAAGCAATGTTTATTGGGACCAAATAGAGCTTCTCAAATAAATCACCAGTCATTTATGATAAGCACCATCCGTCGACAACGGACAAACAGCCTCTCCTAGTTACTACTGCTAATACAGACACTGTAAAGGTGGGACATAAGTCAGCCATCACTCACGAAGCTATATCCAAACCATATACGTTTGCTTTGAAATAACAGAGCAGGCCAGCTCAAATAAATATCCCAGCTCGCTGCCTCTTTCACTCAACTTATTGTGGGTTGAAAATAAATAAAGAACCACGCTATCATGAGGTAGGGGAAGTTGTGGCAATGCCGGAGTTGGGGCAAAGCCGAAATTCGAGATATTTCTAAAACCGTACGACATGGATGCCACGTCTCAGTGATGCTCTGAAGCTTAAGTGACTACAATTATCGCATGTTTGTTACGAGTTGTCATTTGGAATACTTCGGCTGTGAGGGCGCCAAAAGCGTTTTCAAGGTACGTTTCCCCTGTACTACATGCGCCTTTGAAGCTGCATTTCTTACTCATTATGCTACCGTTTGTCTGGCCAACGGTCAAGTAGTCTTCAGCATGTCTTTGCATAAGTGTGCTGCCTATTTGAAATTTATACAGCACGTTTAAAAGTTATGGGCCTGCAAATGAAAGTATGGCTGGCTGGGGTAATGCCGAAAACGTGCAATTACGCACGTTAAAGCACGCTACGTGGACTTTACTGCTGTAGAATAGCAACGCGTATTTTTAGTCAAACAAATTACACTTTCAGCCGGCCTGTTACCTATAAGGAATGATTTACCTAGCATTTTTTATTATATCACACAATTATAACTTCCAGTGTGCACCAAGCGCCCTCAAGCTCTTAAAACGCGTGTCAGCTTTGATGAATTTTGGATAAAGTTTGAGATAAATTGGCAAAACATCAATGTCAGCATTCCTCGTAGATCATTTATCCCATTTTCGGCTTTCCCCGCAGTCCGGGGCAACGCCGAAAAAGTCAGTTCTTTGATATTTTTAGTTTTTGCGCTTAACGGTATGCGAATTCATCAAATGCGCCTGGTATGTTTGAAAGACAAAAGACTGGCCTCTCGAATGACGCCAACAAGAATAGCTTATGTTGTCTACCTTGCGTGCTACGGGCGTCAGAAAAAAAGTATTCGGCGTTCCCCCAACTTCCCCTATATCAAATACTGGCACCCATTCAGATCACCATATACCACTTAGAAGTATACATGTCGTAAATGTAGTGGTCTGTGGTCTCACAGTTCTCAGCACACTTCGAGTCTATATCAAAGCAGCGCGTTCTAAAGGATACATTCTCGCCCTCATAACCTCCAAACGTATCACCTCCGTCTCAGTGCGTGTGAAGCGGCACTCGATAAGAACACGCGCTGGTGGGTTGGGCGGGTACCTCCGGGGTCACCCTGTCCAGCGGCAACGGCTCCTCAGCAGACAGGCGGTCCCGCACCTGCCGACAGGAACCGGTTACACTGGCAGTTGCATCATGCAAACACACGGTGGATCTGGTACAGAGACACCCGCAAAGGGGTCACTGTGCACTACACAGGCCGAGCAAAGATAACTGAAGTGACAGCATGACGGAAAACGATGTTTGCAGAGGGCGGGATGTAACTCATGTAAGAAGCACGCTTCTTAGTCTCGTCGTGTGTGTAATGTATCGGACGTGTTTCAGTAACCACAGCAGTTAATTAAAATGATTACAGAGGTTGCCTGTTTATTAATGTTTATTTTTTTGCGCTTATCACCAATGCAGGAACATGCCCGACTGACAGACGAGGTCAAGAAAACTAAAGCCTGCTAAAAAAGTTTAATATCATCGGATAATCGGTCACGATGTGACGTCTAACGGACGAGACATTTAGCAATACACGGGAAAGCAAAAACATCTGCTGCTCATGACAAAACGATTTAAACGAACAAGCTAGAAAAGGCAGTTTCCTTTAATTTTAGGTGGAAACATAGGACCACTTTTTACCCTACCTCATCTTAAGACGTACAGTTAATTATAGGATAGGACCAATAAATATTGAAATTAAGCTGCAACGCTTACATTTGCTTTTCTCGAGCTTCTCGATCAAGCTCATCTCGATTGTTGGTTGATTGCAGACACTTCTGACGACGAATTTTGATATACTATGGCCCTCTATGGGTCAAATCTGCTCTAGCCTCCTGAGACCCGGTTCGACTATTCGAACCTCCCTCAGATCCCGGCTCACCTTTTCCACTTTCCTAAACACCCTGAGGAAGTTGAGGCCAACCAGTGCCTTGACGTCCTGTTCTGACCAGCCCGGTCTGGCCAACAGCCGAGTCACTAGCACCGGATAGGAGGAGGAGTCCGGAAGGCCGAGAGGTACCCTGTCACAGCGAACAGAGGAACCGTCAGTTGGTGGGTCACACTGATAGAAAACAGAGACGTTTTAGAGGACAGGGCACTTGGCAGTGAGGACACTTGACAGTGAGTCTTGACCAGTCACCATAGAATAGCCGTTTTCACGACGGGCTATCCGGCGAGTGCACCAAATTTGACCAAATCTGCCCCTAATCTCTTCTACAGCAAATATCTTTATTTTATGAAGTTATTTCAGTGTTTTAATCGATGATTCTCTCTGATTATAATAAGACAAAGCAGGCATATAAGCAATTAGTGCAACCCTAGCTGATAGCTACAAAGGGACACTGAACCTAATTTGACCAAATCTGCACCTATTCTCCACCAGATGTGTACCAGATGGCCGTCGTGAAAACGGCTATTATGTATTGCTTGAGATATAATTATAAAATATTTGGGGTTTCGGCGCACGGATTGTAAAGATCATCAGCAAACATGATCGCTTGAGATGCCTACATTTGCACGCTCGAGCACATGTTTTATGGCGTTCTGCAATTACACACAGTTCTCCTCCTGCCAGCCTTGTTCCACAGCCACGGTCTGGTTTGCTCTGGTTTGTTCTGGTTTGATGGTTTCAGTGCACCCACCGGTTGATACCGTCGTAGCCGGCCCCGAGACCGACGTGCTGAGGTCCGGCCACCGACCGGATGTGCTCAATGTGGGCTGTAGACAGAAACGGAACGGAAAAAAAACGGGGTTTGGGTGAAATGGAACGGGAAAACGAGGGTCGGGTGTAATGAAACGGGGAGCGAGGGAGTCAGACAGAATGGAACGGGAACGCCGGGTCCGGCGGCAAAACGGGAAGCCAGAGTCGGTTGTTGTAAATACAAATCGGGAAATGGAAATTGGGTGGAACCGATGCGCACACGGGGGGGGGGGGGCATACACTTTGATATGACAACCGATGTGCAGATATAAACAAAACGGACAGAGGCAGAGGAGACAGGAATGATAAAGAGAATCGGGACGCATACGGAAAAAGGGGGTTAGTCATTGTCATAGCAACAGAGACATTCGATCGACGCCGAGTGAGCATTGCTAACGTCAATGCTGCCGTCATTTAGCGTGCAAAAATAAACCTGGGCGCGGGTCTTAGTGGCCATAGCTTCATAATTAGATTAATATTCATAAATTACTTATAAAACGTGCATGCATTGGTTGTTTCAAACCAAACATCAGTCGATGGAAACTTACCGATCACATCGTCCACGGTGGCAGTGTCGGAGCACGTAAGGAAGCGACTGTAGAAGCTGACCATCACCAGGCCGCCCTGCAGCGCCTGCAGGGTGCAGCAGGGCCACACAGCCGTCGGTATATTGGTTTATTTATTCGCAATTCAATATGAAAAGTGGGCACAGCATTTAAGGCCAGGGACCAGGGTCAAGACCTTTTGCAGATCAACTCATATAATGACACATAAAATCGCATATTTATAGGGTGCAAATATTGAAATCCAACCGTTCCTGCTCCACCACTATATCTCAAGTCAACCAACCCTTGTAAACAACTGAGTTGTTACGTTGGTACACAAGGCGCCACCCCATGCCAATAGGTGGGCCTGTGTATCGTCAGACCGACAGCATTGATCAGTAGCGCACGGGGGCCATCCATTACAATCAGCATCAGTTAGCGGGCCGGTCGGCAGGCCGTCGGCACAGCCACCAGCGCTGTCGGCGAGCGTGTCAGATTACACCCACGGGGAGCGGCAGGGCAAAGGGAGCGGTCGAAACATGCACAGCGGCCGTTGGGCGAATCGCGACTACGTGACTGGTTGCATGGTTGCATGGTTGCATGCAATACATGACCCTTAGTGAGATACCGCCGGTTTTATCATTTACATGACGTCATGGACGTAGCAATGACGCAAGCTAGCCAGTCTTAGAAGTAAAACCAAACGTAACGCGCGGTGTTCATGGCTAGTCATAGAAATAAACCGCGCATAGTGATAGCGACGAATCATATCTGAGACCACCGCTCATTAGGATCGGATACCTAGATAAGCTCGCTGCAAGATTGTTGACTTTGAGTGTAGCATACTGCTGTCAGATGTGGCCTGGCTATATCTAACGTTAAGCTAATGACTCGTGATCTCATGCACATCGTGATGCTCGGATTAATGGCCACCACAAATCACGCCTCCCCTCCCCTGCCCTCTTTCACGTCCGCTGCATGTCATCCCACCACGTCGCATGGGGTCCCAACGCCCACCAACTTCTCCGTCCTATTACATCCCACCGGCCACCACATCCCACAAACTCCCAGCCCACCATCCCAGACCAATTACCAATCACCAATCACCAGACCCTCCCACCATCCTTCCCTCACTTCACTTGAATGCCCAACATTACTACAATACAGAAACAGCTGAGTGCCTATCTACTCACCAGTTGTCGTAAGATAACATCGGGCACGTTTCGCGAGATGTTGCAGAGCGACTGGGCGGCCGAATGAGAGAATATCACTGGTGCCCTGCTCACCGCCAGTACGTCCCGCATAGTCTGCAGACTGGTGTGGCTGAGGTCCACCATCATCCCCAGACGGTTCATCTCGCGAACCACCTGCTGTAGAAGAGCAGAAAGGGATGAGAGATGAATTGTCGGTGGAGTGGAGGGTTAGGGGCTAGGGCTAGTTGTTTGTATTGACTAGTGAGGAGTGTTAGGGCGGTGCATGTCTTATGTATATGAAGAGGAGGACTAGTATGTGCTGATTTGTGTTTCTTGAGGAGGGGCGGTGACTTGTGGGGATGGTTCATTTGTAGTGACGTGTCGAGAAGATAGTTCAGAGACCGTCAGTGGTCTGTTCCCCCTGCGTTTCGGAGGGGTTTCCGGTGGTAGAGGAGCGAGGAGTGGCGCAGGCGCGCACAACGGCGCATAGAGACGCGGCTCCTAATTAGACTTTGATTGCAGTAATTTATCAGCTGTCGGACTGAGTCGACACTGGGCCCAACGTCTCAGAGTCAGCTGCCGAAGATGCCTCGCAAGTTAGACATTAAATGCGCTGTTGTACGCACATTGAAGCGTTACTGAAATTATATAGGATCTTCCCAGTCATCATGACCGATTTGCCCTTGAGTGACTGCATGTTTCTTCCTGATCATTTGCAACATGATGATCAATTGATCAGGTTGCGGGTGATCAGTGCAACACATCACATCACCAACATTCCAAGATCATTATAACGATTTCTTTAAAAATTGGATATCAATGGGTGAATTCAGGAAGCAAAACACACCAGTCTGTTGCATATAACTATTGGAGTTGGTTGATAGCCCTGATTCTCAGTTCAACATGGCTGCAGCACTTAACCCAAATTATTGACATTTAATCAAAGCGGACAGCGATGAGTGCTCTTCGGCTCTAAAAGCATGCCGGGAATAGGGACCCACTGCGCGGAAACTACCAAACAATGTGGATCGGCTCCTTCAGAACTGAACAAGTGACGTGGATCATATAAATAGGCATGACATTTAAAACTGAATTACCATAAATGTATTAATTCAGCTCATGAGTCCCTTAAATCTCTTTTTTGTTAATTTCCGGTCTTATAAAAAAAGCAAAAAGCACAGCAAAGTAGAGAGACTGAGGGAGGATAAGAGAGAGAGAGAGAGAGAGAGAGAGAGAGAGAGAGAGAGAGAGAGAGAGAGAGAGAGAGAGAGAGAGAGAGAGAAAGAGAGAGAGAGGAGAGAGAGAGAGAGAGAGAGAGGAGAGAGAGAGAGAGAGAGAGAGAGAGAGAGAGAGAGAGAGAGAGAGAGAGAGAGAGAGAGAGAGAGAGGAGAGAGAGAGGTGAAGGAACAAGAGTGCGCTAAATAAGTATGCACTATGCATATCATTGCTAAGAAATTGATGCATACCATTGCACATTTAACATCATTCGACGCATTGTTACGGAACTCTCACCTTTCCAATGCCTGCAAGTCCCTTCTGGTCCATCGGTGGAACCTCGGAATGCTCTGACCTGCAAAACACCGCAACTATCAATGAGTTCATCAGCGTTTGGGGGGGGGGGGCAATGTCATATGAAATTCATCTTATGATGACTTTGTTCTGTTACAGTTGAGCTGCAAGTCTGTCCGTCATTCGGATCATCAGTTTTTTGTTGTTGTTGTCAAAATGTCAGTTTGACTTATTTTGGATGGGAAAATATTTGGGTTTAGGAAATTAGGCCTACATCAGTTCGGGACAGCTGAAGAGGTATCTGTGACCCTGTCGTCTGTTTACGCGACTCGGTTCGTCAGTTTGGTCGGGCTAATCCGTTAGTTGGAGGGCTGCGCAATCAGTTTAGGCCTGCATAAGTCAGTACGTCAGTTGAGTAAGTCAATCTTTCAGTTGGGTAGGTCAATCCGTCAGTTGAGTAAGTCAATCATTCAGAACGGGTGAGTCTATCCGTAAGTTGGGTAAGTCGATTCGTCAGTTGGGTAAGTCAATCTTTCAGAATGGGTGGGTCTATCCGTAAGTTACGCGGTATGTCGATCCGTAAGTTGGGTAAGTCAGTTGGGTGAGTCAGTCAATCAGGTCGGTGATTTGTTCAGTCAGTTTTGAGTAAGTTTACACAGGAAAGGCGCCGTCTGACATGACGGATAGAGATTAAAACACTTCGCCAATCGACACAAAGTGGATCCACATTTCCATCACGTACTCTGGTAGCAGGCGGCAAAAGAGAACGCTTCGAACCTGTCAAAACTTGAAGAATGGTGACCATTTGTCAAAGGTCGTTTCAGACATCTTGGAAAATAAGAGTTACAGTTCTGAGCTGTTTTATTGCCGAACAACTGGACTTTCTTCATCATCATGACATTTGACTGTGAAAGTAATAAAATGATTCGTTACTATCGACAACAGGCATATGAAAATAGCAAGGATACAATAAAAAAATGTTTCGCCAAGCAAAGGAAAATCAATGGTCTGATGTCGCCGCGCGGGTTCAGATGACATGCACCGGACGCCCAATGAACTGACTACTGACCACGGGGTACTGCAGGTGTGTGTGAGGGTCAGGTAGCGGGCACCCAGAGAGTAGAGACTCCGAAGCACCGGCAGGCTGTCTCCGATAGCGTGGCCTCCCTCCACACCCAGAAGGCTGGCCATCCTACCTCGGGCGTGGATCGCCATCACCTCTGGAGAGAGAGAGAGAGAGAGAGAGAGAGAGAGAGAGAGAGAGAGAGAGAGAGAGAGAGAGAGAGAGAGAGAGAGAGTCGGTTAAAATTCAGACCTACGAATATTGGAGACAGAATCGGCCAGACTTACTCCGAATTTCACGGCAGACATCGAGAGGCTTGAAAGTTAACCCTCGCCCGTAAACGGTGTTTTGCCACCTTCGCCCATGCAGGGGGGGGTTGGTGCGACCCCCCCCTGGCGTTTGAAAACGGAGCGTCGTAGAGCTTAGCGGAAAAGACCAACGGATTGCTCTCAACGAGATCTCGCGATTGGTGGTATATTTTTTGGTCCTAGGTCAACATTTGACCTACTTATGACCGGTCAAAGGTCAAATTTTCGGAAAAATCTAAGTTTTTCAGATTTCCGCGCCGATTGCGGCAAAACGGTAAGAGATATCGACTTGAAACCTTCACTATCGTGATCCTTGATCAATTATCTATCGTTTGGTGTATATTTCGATGTCATAACTCTAAAAATGATGCGTTGGGAGCATCGGAAGTCTGCAAGGTCATTTGTGCATTGGGTCACGTCAGGCGTGTGACGTCACTGACCTGGCCCTGACCCAAAATGGACTACAAGAAACAACCGACCATGCCTGAAATGGATAGCAAATTCGAATTCAGGGCATCAAAATACCCCGAAAAGGCATACAAGTGCAAGAAGTCATTACAGGTCAACCGAGGTCACTGACCTGACCTTGACCTTTAGTAACCTTGAAAAGGTCAACGGACATTGTGCCAATGTCAAATCAGCCAGTTATGATTCTAAAACAATCCATCAGTGTGTCAGGTCAGTCGGCATTTATACCAATGTGAAGCAATCTCCAATTTAGCGTAAATCTGGCCGGAGGTTGTTCCCTTTATGACGTCATAACTCCGTGACCTGACATGACCTTGACAATTTTTTTTTACCAAAAGTTGCGCAAAGGATGCCCCAAAGGGTACTGAAAATTTGAGCAGGCTATCTGAAACGGTTCGGCGTGTAGCTAAGAAAAACCTCAGGGGGGGGGTTGCACCAACCCCCCCCCCCTACATGGGCGAGGGTTGGGGCTAAGAGTATTTGAGCCCATGTAACCAAAGGGTAGTTAAATAAAATTTCATATGTGTGTAATATTTCCGCACATAATATTTAAAGAAAGTACTTGAGCTAGCGTAACAGTTGAAGGCTATCCTGGCAGCAACCACTAAAACACTGGCCTAATAAGTAATAACCCCCCCCCCCCGTGTCTGTCGGTTCCGTCCCGTCCTCACCGTCGGCTGTGGTGGCCATCTCGGTATGATCGGGGTACCGTCCCACCATCCGTAGTATGGTGTCCAGCTGCTCCAGCGCAATCGGCACAGCGTCCAAGTGCTGGGCACCGCACGGCACGTACACGCTCCAGAACTGTGGGAATAAACGGCACGTAGGCGGTTCTCAACACTGTGGGAAATGGCGGCCACATGCTACCTAGACGTTTCACAATTGTGGGAATAAGCGACACATACGATCCAGCATTATGGGAACGTATGACACAACTCGACGCTCCAGAACGGCAAAAATAGACGCCTTATATGCGCTAGTGCTGGGTTCAACAATCAGCATATCACAGCTTAGAAATGTTAAACGAGACGGCATGATCCGCTCTAGAATTGGGCGATGTGTGATCGGTATATACGATCGATAACTGACACATGGACACGGATAACAATGGGACGTTATGTAAGCTATGTAATTGCGACACATCGACAATACAGGATACGAGACTGGCCTCATCATTGCGCACCATCATCTGCCCTCGACCGTCCCGGACGATCCAAAACTGATCCCCATCTCAAACACCCCAGCGCACACCAGCCCCGTCCTGCGTCTGTGGCTGATTGGACGCCAAACCCCGGGGCTATGGCGGCTCCTCCGAAAGCGCCAAGTCAATTGTTCGATGACGGCCCAATATGAGGGCTCGTTCCCAGAGGCAGCGCGCGGCCGTGGCTGGAAGTCCCTCAATTGGAGCGGTGTTTGTCTTTGGACAGCCCTGTGCGAGGCTGATACACCACAGAGGTCGTTCAGAGCTGCTTGTGGGTAGGAGAAATGATAACAAAACTTTGCGGTTATAGGTACTCGTGGTCCTGGCCTTCGCAATCGGCCTTCGGTATACGAGTAAAGGCCTAAGGCCTTACCGGAATTATGGCCGTGACGACGGTGAAGCTGGTACATACTTGAAACGCATTGTCAATCAACAATGCGTTTCAAGTATGTACCGAACAATGCGAGCTAGTCTGAAACAATGAATACAATTTCATGGCATTCGCATTTCACTATTCGCATATTCTCCCCATTCGCATTCGCACCTCGACCCATTCCAGCGGAACGTGATGCGTGGGAAGACTTCTCCCTTCAATGTTGAATATATTCCGGGAACTAAGGAACGTCCCGAAGGCTAACACTTTCTGAGGCGTCAGCTTCCATCTAAAACAGGCCTGGTGGGTTCGCAGCCGTTGAATTGGCGCGATTAAAATTAACGTGGTGCGTCGTTCGATGCCGTTCTGATGGTTCCGGCCGCCTGGGACCTGACTGATGGCTGACCCGAGACGATGCCGAGCACAGCAAAGGGCATGGGCAGAACAACGGTGATGTTCTGTACATTTTTTTCAGGCATGAGGCGTGTGTGCCTGGGAGCGGGGAATTCATAGCAGTAAGGGATAGCAAACGTTTCAGAAAATGCAGGGATACTACGCCTTATCAGTATTGTGTCGAGTTTTATCCACGACAAATCACCTATCACTTACATCGGTGCCTCGTTGATGGGCATGATGGCAGTAATTCATTTTGCCTGCGGTAATGCTGTTGCACACCTGAGGAGCTTCGGTCCTAATGCGACGTGTCTTTCGGAATGTCAAGCGTCATTGGTGCCGTCATTCAGCAGTGGTGTATGCTGTCGGTGATCTTGATCTTCCAATACCGCACATCAAGGCATACAGTAAAGTTTTATGACATAATTGACATAAATTGGACTGCTGCAAGGGAAAGTGGTGTCCACTAGTGACCCAAGATTACTACAACATAGTAATAAAGGAGTGACAAGGAGTGACCTGTGAAATAAACATCGAGGTAGACATCGAGTAGCTCAAAATGGACATCTCCAAATCAATCTTATCAATAACGCTTTAGATAAATACCATATGAACGATACGCCGGTGGATCCAACCACCGGCGTATCTGCCCTGTGCGACCTGACTGACCTGGGCGCCGACCCTGCCCTCTCGCAGCCGGGCCAGGTCCGTGTGCGACCAGACGCTCTCGTTCCAGGGCCGCACGTGCCGCAAACTGGACGTCAGGTTCACGCTCTTCAGCTTGTTGTAGACAAAGCGGCGCGCGTTCCAGGCAAAGTCATTGTGTCTGAACCAGAAAGAAAGTGGTATTGAAGTTCAATGAGTACAATAACAAAAAAGGGTGATGTTCAGCAGAATGCGAAGATAAGTTTGCTTAGCTAGCATAATAAAAGAGCACAAACTATGAGTTGAATTAAAGAAACTGTTAACCGAGCAATATATGTATATAAAAACACAACCTAAAACATAAACTAAATTACAGAGTAATGTCGACATGTGACCGGATTCAGTCACTCCAGAAGAGCACATGCAGTCGGCAGTCATTCAGATAGAGACACAGACTATATCGAATGGTCTCTGATCGCTGCTGACGTCACGCCTGACCTATGTCCCCACCCATGACATCACACTCACCCGTCGACCAGCGGCATTTCAGTGAGTCGCAAATGACGTCCCATCCTTCATGATGTCACACTCACCCGTCGACCAGCGGCACTTCGTTGAGGAGTCGCCGAGCAGCCATCAGATGACGGCTGGCTGCCGAGGGATCCATGTCTCTCACCACCAGAGGCACACTGATGAGGCCCGAGGCAGCAGTCACCAGTAGCAACATGGCCACGATACACCAGTGTCGGTGCTGCAGGCGACTGGTGTTTTCTGTAAAGGTGGGAGGGAGTAACAGCGGGCAGTGAATGGGTTATACGGTGAACAAAGGTCATTAGCAAGCCGTTGGAGGTGACGACTCTCATATTGTTGATGCTATAAGACATAGATCTCTGCATGATTCGGTACGTACCGATATCCATGGGCAAAAGGATATATGCACTAGGCATACTTCATAATGCAAGGAAGAAACGTTGACGAATGACGCATGTAAGCGATTCCAGTCCACGAGTGTACTCAACTACTCATCAGAGTTGTAAATTGTATTGTGTGCGACGCATCTGATCCACCTAAATAGCACAATAGCGCCTCTCCGCTCTTATTACTACTGATACTTAATTATTGCACAAGGACTTTGATGATATTTTCCCATATCTGCTGACGATGCTAATTGCTGAACCTATCGGAGACTTGGAATACATGCCTTCTATCGTGGATTAGATGCTTGAAAGCCGTTCAGCCCAACTTCCGTCAGCAATTTTTCACTTCGAACAGCCTGCAGGCGGCGTCGTTCATTTCAGAGGAGGATAAAAAGTTAGCAGAAATCGCGCTGGGAATCACTATCGAATGGAAGGGCGGCTCCGCTGGGCAGCCGAAAACTAAACTGTATGCACCGAAACGATGTCAATTGTGTTTTTATACATGCAACACAAAGACAACTATGAAAGGGTGAATGTAATGCTGCAGTGGTAGTCGTAGCAAATCGAGATTGTGTTTATATCTTAATTTATAATCATATACCTATGTATTATGCAATAGCTCTTAGAACGTCTTGTTTTACGGTCTTCCTACGCTGCGGTCCGTTTTTGATATTCATTTTTCATCAGCGTCAGCTGTTCGGTGGTGCGCGAACAGCTTTCTCGCGAGATTGATGTGCGTGCGATCGGCCGCGACCTGACACCGCGGCCTACTCTCGTCGGCGACTCTCTGGACCATATGTGCCCTCGGGAGACGACAACCTAATGGAAAATGGTCGCCGACGCGCCGTCAATAGGTACACGACTATTGGCGAGGGATGACGATAGGTAGACTACAGGGTACCAGGGTGGAAGGGAAAAGGGTTGGGGAATTGGTTGTTAATTGGGTTAAGGTTGGAATGAGCTGGGCTGAGTTGTGGCGTGTCTTGTGTCAGGTTTTTAGGGTCGACGCTAGCTCGGCGTTTATAGGCCCACGGCGAGGGCGGCTGGGAGTGGGTCAGCCCATGTGACCAGCCGGATGACAATCGCCGCTGCCTCCTTAGAATACAGAGCAGCTGAGACCGGGTCCCAGGTGGTGGTTAAACAGGGCCCAATGTGTAGTGGGGCTGTGAATAGCTAGTCTGGTGACAGGATGACACGACCCCAGGGATGAGATAAGGAAGCGCCGCAGAAGGTCAGATGCATTACAAATTTAATGAGTCAGCTGGGTAAAGTGAATACGAATACATAAAACAGCCAATGAGCAAAGCTGTGGTACTCGTCAATTAACGACTAACCAATTTCTAATTTGACCCTCAAATATACATACCAATGCAGTTAGAGCTATCTATTCCATTCGAATCTGCAGTTTGAAGCCTAGCACTTATTAATCATTATGATAATTGAAATAGTTACGAATTACTCATCACCACAGAAAGTGTTAGGCATCCTATATAGGTAGGGGAGAGTGGGGTAATTTGGCCGGTGGTGTAAATTGGCCGCCCCCACCTGTACGATGTCTAATAAAAGTGAGTGAAATAACTCTAGTCTCTATTCATTTGTTATGGGTAGAAATAACTGGAGGACAAATGTCAAAACTTTGCCCCTCGTAGTTTTATTCAAAATTAATAAAACGTTAATTTCATTAGAAAATGGTAACTTTTACTTCTGTTTACAAAGTTGTAGTATTTGGGCTAAAAACGAATTAAGACATTATAGCGCCATTCTTGGGGGTGTTCAGCGGTTCCAAGAGCAATTTCATCTAATTCCGTATAGCCATGATGACTTTATACACAAAAATGTTCAGAATGGCAATATTAGGGTAATTTGGCCGGGACTAGCGGGGCAACTTGGCCGGTGCGCTCATGGTCACTATGCTGGGACGGCCGAGTTTTCATGGTCAATTGTACCATAAATGACATGATTCATGACCAACTTTGACTACTTTGATGCCTTACTTCCGATTGGTCAACTGTCAGAGCATGTGACGTCATCAAAGGTTACCAAACGTTTTTTGCTAATAAATCCTTACATAAAAATGGTACAGCCGCACAAATGGTCTCATTCTGTTCAGCTCGCCAAGGCGCATCGAATGATATGCATGATGACGTTGAGCTCACGTGACCTTCAGGTCAAGCGACCTGAGGTAACGTGACCTGAGGTCAACCTTTGACCTTGACTTCTCGAGGTCAACACATATATGTTTCGATGCGGAATGACGAGAGAATTACGATGTTACTCGAAGTTTTGGCCTAGCTTGATTACTTCAAAAGTTATTCGTAAAAAACTGTCTTCGCATCTAGAGCCGCTAATTTGGCTATTTTGACCCCTTTGACCCCATGAGTCAACCTCCAAAATGTGGTAAATGCGTCAAAGGACACACGTCATTGCTGAATCTGAAGCTGACTCGCAATATAACAGAAAATCCCGACCGCAAACTAACACCGGCCAAATTGCCCCACAACCTCGGCCAAATAACCCTGCTCGTGGGGCAATTTTGCCGCCTTGCAGACCTTTGTAATGTACGTCACAATTTCAATATAAGTAATTACTCTATCATTTCAAGTTCACTGTCCAGTAAAGTAAAATGAATGCTACACCTGCCAGCGTTGAGAAAATGCAGAAATGTGTCGTCAATTTTAAGTTACATCGTTTTCTAAAAAAAGCGGCCAAATTACCCCACTCTCCCCTACCTCCTGTGTTTTTCGTGCGTGTGACCATAGTTAGACCCGCAAAGCTCTATGACTTGACATCATCATACATATTTTTGAATAAGTCACTGGAAATTGTTTCAATGCATCCAGCCATCCATTATATTCTTAGTATCGCAATGCCATTGACATGATAAATTACTGGCTCTATCTCGTTCTGTCATACCCTGGTGAGGTGGGCGGACATCAAGCGTTTTGTTATTCAAGACGCAAACACTGATATCAGTGTTAGAAGTCCCCGGGCGACTAATGAATATTTGCTTTCGTTCGAATTATTCATCCGAATCTAGAGTTTATCCGGAACCTTATATTGGATAACATCTTCGTATCTATAATTTGTATGGTAATGCAATATAAGGAGGATAAACATCCTTTATCCCTCGCCCGCACATGCCATTTTCCCATCCTAGAACGCACATGGGGGGGGGGGGTGGTTGCCACCCCCCCGCGCCATTTCGTTCCTGTTGGAGATAGAGCTTAGCGGTAAAGACCAAAAAGATTCTTTGGGAAGAGACGAATCCAATGATACCCAGTTTTACCTTCTCAGGTCACTCATTGACCTTCCAGGTCAGGTCAAACTAAAAAATGTTGCTGTTTTGGGTCAACGTTGGATATCAAGTGCGCTGCTTATCAAATACCGATGACGATGCTGTTTTCTGGTGCCAAGCCAGCTAGAACCTCTTTGTCACACTATCCGACCAGAATTTTGCTGCTGAGGTCATTTCAGGTCAAGTTAGGTCAAGGTCAATTATATGTGTTTGTATGTCTGTTTGTGTCTGTGTGTATACTGATGTGTGCACCGATTGTTTTTGGGTCCATATCACATGAAATCATGATCTGAGAAGCTTTTACCAAAAATGCAGTCAAAAAACTTCACAAAAAGTAAATTCAGCTTGCCTAAAACGCAATTATCTTAGATGACCTAGGTTGACCTTGACCCTGACCTTGACCCCTGTACATCGTCGAACAACATGTTCGATGATAGGTGGGAGGTAAGACTGGCAAAAAAGGCCGAAATCAGGGTGTCAAAAGCTCACAAGGCCCATGGCAAACGCAAGATGTTGAGAATTGGCCATTTGGGTCATGACATGACCTGAAAAACAAGGTCATATCTCCGAAACCAAAAATCACAGAAACTTGAAATTTTCAGTGGACATCAAGAAAGGATAGACGAGCAGCTATACGAAAAATCAGCCTTCTAGCTTTAAAAATGTTGAGTGCAGAGCAGAAAGACTGCCTGGGGGGGTGGCAACCACCCCCCCCCCCATGTGCGGGCGAGGGTTATTGACCTCGGTCTACGATTGTTGGATTGCACAGAATGTAGACCGACATGTCATTTGAATCTACTCAATAAAACTGATCGGATGTGATTTCCCTTTCCACCTACTACCCGAATACCTACCCTGCAATGTGTCCCTCTCGAAGAGTCTCGAATGGAGTCCGAGCCGAGCCGGGTGCAAGGACAGCGTGATTTGAACACACCATGTGACATAACTACTGAATGTAGATAAGGATACATATTTTACATCATGATATGCTAGCATGGCCGTTCGCAAATTCAGCACACATCACGCATGGATGCAGGTCAAGTAAATAGCATGCAGGTCGGAAACAACTAAGACATAGCACATTCAGTTGCAAGCCACAAATCGTAGAACAGCTGGTCGATGGATCGCCTACCTTTGTCATGAACCTGGCGCTCCTGACCAGGGCTGTGATCGGACGGTGCATCCGGTGATAGCCCCGGAGAATTCAACAGGTCAAACGAGGTCACCAGTAGGTCAGCAGGCGGGCCGGCCTTCGAACACCTGATGACCCGCTCGACAGGTATCAGGTCCACCGGCTGTCCCTGTGACCGGTCAACGATCAGTTGAGTCGGCTGAAACACGTCAACGAAGCAATAATTCAATCACACACAGTGGATAAATCATGGCAATTCACATTGGCCGACTACAAAAGTGCGAAAGTGCTTAGACATGCCGTTTCCGCAGCATGTAAATAAGATTGCGCTAACCCAGCGTGACTGAACTGCAAGTGCAACTTGAGCCATATTGAAGCCAATTGAACTGCAATTTGAGCCATACGTTTAATGAACTGACTGTCATAATATCGACCAAAGGCATCAAACAGCCCTATTTACACTTTCAAATGATGCTAAGGCGATTTTCCCCACAATCGCGAACACGGAAAGGCTTTCGTTCATAACTCAGCATTAGCCCCACAGCTTATTGAATGTAACACCGCCCTGGACGTCGAGCCCCCCAGCTCGACCATTGGCGCCCATACATATAACCTTATCCCAGTGCGGGCGAGTGCCAGAAAACCCCTTAGGTATGTATGAACCGGAGCCCTGTGCCAGTGCACCTTACGCTGGCAAATCCCTCCGGCTACGACCAAAGCTGCATGCCGACATTCCATGCAATTTCAAGTAGGCGAAATTGAACAATATGGCCATAAAAACTGCATCGGAATGAGCTATTTGCAATAACGTCAAGGTACGGCCTAAGTAGGATCCTCAGAACCTTACAGTAAATGTCAGCGAACCATGTGGATGAAGTGTGTGACCTGGTCCAGTATACAGTGATTTGACTTTTTATATCAGCTTCGGAAAGACGAGTATGCAAAAGCTGTGCCGAATTTATGTTTATATGTTTAAAGTATAGATTTTATGGTTCACAACACAACAAACATGCACTTCTTTTTGTAATGCTCAGCTAGAAAAATTACATCCTACAGCGTGTCAGGGAACGTTTACATTTATGATGTGCCGAACTTTTCACGTGTATGAGCTTACATGGCTGCTACTAGATGTCTCCGCAGTGTGCGCCTGAAGTTATGCTGTGCCGCACATCTCCAAGTCTATGTTGTACTGCTGTCCCTAGATGTCACTACAGTTCGCGCCTGAAGGTATACTGCACCGCATGCCATGGGAACGATGCATAACGTTGACATGCTATATGAGCGCCGGTCCAAATGGACATTCTTCCCATGAATGGAAGAATAGCCCTGAAGTACAATAGCTCCCAAACAGAGCAGACAGTTATTGAATTTATTGATAGAATAACCGTAGCATCCCCACAGGGCGGATCACTGGGTTCCTCACAATTGGTACGGGCATATGCCTACCGGAGCAGCCAAAGCCCAAAACGGGGAAACTCAACAAAAGCCCGAGGCCGTTGAAAGGGCTCAGATTCTTTGCTGGTGTCTTAGATAGCAGAGTAGTAGAGCAGTGAAGGGTGCATTACTTAACCCGCGCCCTGATGGGGGGGCCATTTTGGCCCCCCCCTGTGGTTTTTCTTAAATAGCGAGAAAACGGCGGCGCGCAGCGCCGCCAAATTTTGGATAGCTTACCGGGCATCAATTTGACACCTTCACACAAAATTTCAAGTCACAGGTCACCTCAGGTCAGGAGTTATTGAGGTCAAACTGAGGTCATGTTCGAGTAAAAATGAGCAAAAAACATGACATCTTGAAACGCTCACCAATTCTACAGTTAACAAGCAACTTTAAAGTTCTTTATGTGGTTGTGTAGAGAAAGGTCGGCGCTACAAAATTGCTATCTCGGATTTTCGAAATTTTGGGATTTTGACCCCCAAAAATCAAAAAAATTGATTTTTTTAGAAAAACTCAAAAAATTTCCAAAAAATTTTCGAATTTCGAAAAAAACGGAATATATGTGATAGTCCCTGCGCTCTTCGATATACATACCAAATTTTAGATCGATACCTCTTTTTTTTGGCCAAGTTATAGCGAAAAAACTGTTAAAAATTGATGACGTCAAATTTTTGAACTCAATTTTTTGCCATTCTAGAGCTCGTAGCGCAAAACGGAGACCACCATTGACCTCCCCGTGACGAGCTGCATCAAATCGATACCCATTTTATGCAAAAATATCAACTTTAAAATTTGACCGAATTTGACCTGACCTTGACCTGACCTTGACCTGACCTTGACCTGACCTTGACCTGACCTTGAACAAAACATGACCTAAGCTGGCCCTTAAGTCTGTCTGACCCACATAATCGCATTTGTCATGTAAAATGGACCATAAAACATGTATCACACGACACTTTCAAATTGTGACCCCCCAGTGACCTGACCTCTGTGACCTGACCTGGTATCAGTGACCTCAAATAGCAAAATATGTGTTTGAAGAACATTTCCCCATCGATGATTTTCAATGAAATGCATTTTACACGATTTTACAACGCATTTCTTGAAATGCCTGTAAACGGTGAAAATTCGACCTTTGACCTGACCTGTGACGTCATCGGTTTGACCGAGGTCAATTAAATTGGGTCACAAGGTAGTTCCCCGTTGGGGCTATCCAACACCGTTTACCGCTTGTCGCTATGTTGCGTGGTTCTCGAGATCTGAGGGGGGGGCCAAAATGCCCCCCCCCATCAGACCACGTTGCTCGGCAGACCCCATCTGGGCGCGGGTTAATAGATATAGGTACCAGTATAGCGCCTTTTGGGGCGACTAACGGAGCGAGCGAGGGGGTGAGTCTTGCACGTGCGAAATTTCGAGGGGGTACCTCCAACTGACTTTAGCACGGCACCCTACTGACCGGTTTCTAGCGATGTGCCAAATTTGAGCACAATCGGCCCAGCCGTTCTCGAGATCTGGGAGCGGCACCCTGCACGTGCGCACGTGCAACATGGGTCCCAACTGACTTGTGCACGGCACCCTACTAACTGGTCCCTAACCGTGTACCAAATTTGAGCGCCATCGGTCCAGCCGTTCTCGAGATCTGGAAACGACCCCTGCACGTGCGCACGTGCAGCAGCACCCCAACTCTGGCACATGGATATGCAGTGCCTAGTGGGTGCCTACCTATATGCCAACTTTCAGCGCAATCGGCCAAGTAGTTACCGAGATATTGCAACAATTACAAAACTGACACCTCTTCGTTTTGCACGTGGCACGTGCATAAGGGGTCACCCACATGCATCGGGAATAGCCCAATACTTGGTAGAAGGAATGAAGCTACCGTACAAAAATTACCGCGTGTAAATCGGTCAAGTGGTTGCTGAGATATAAGCCTCGCAAAAGCGTCCGCACGGCCGGCCGGCCGCTCATACTCAGAAATTTCTGTTAATCTAAGGAAAGACTACGCTCGCTTCGCTCGCTCCGTAATAAAATGCCTCCTCCCCGCCTCGTTGCTCTAAGGGATCCATGAACCTGTTTTCTACACATAGCTAGGTACCTACGCCCCGACCAGGGCTGATAGACTCCCCCCCCCCCATCGGCAACTGTGTTTACATTGTTACTCATCCTTGTATCATGGCACATTTTTGGCCCTTTTGAGCGGAATCGGCCAACTTACCGAGTAATCTACATGTGTTCCCATCCGCAGTTTTTTTTTACATCTATAAGTCAAAGTGGGATTTCACTTACCGGATAGTTCATATAGTTGACATACACATGCGCCGGATGCGTATGACGGAGCAGAGGTCCAAGATGCCGGCCACACTGGTGAGGAGGCCGATCGCACATCAGTGTGACATCAGTCTGCACATCAGTCCGATCCCACATCAGCGGAATATCACCCCTCACGTCAGAGCCGTTTGTCGGGTGCAGGCGGGTCATTTCGAAAGTTTCCGCTCCGTCTGCGACGCTTTGTTCGTCTCTAGGACCGTCTCCGTGAGTACCGCCGAACCGGGAGCGGAGGCGGTCCTCCAAGCCGCCTCCCGTGGTGCTCCCCGTCCGGAGAGTGCCGTTACAGTGTCCGTTTTGGCGCAGTGTGGCCATCGCTCGGCTTAATGGTAAGCCAACGGTGGTGGTTCAAGAGAAAGGAGGCGGCCCCCGTCGATACAGCATGGCTGTTTTAGTGTAGCAGTGAGCCTATATGGCACACATCAGCCGGACAGGTTTTCTGTTGCAGAGAAAAGTTATACTTCGGCTTGTATATCTCGCGATATCGAAGATATCGTATATCTCATGCATCGGTTCTGGCCCCTAACTGAGGTTCTCAAATTCTGGCCCTTTCAGTTGACCGATTAAATTAAAATCTTCTTGACTAAAAGTACACAATTGCGTCCAATGTTACCGACAACGCATTTTGTTTGAACTCGAACTTCCTAAATCATCGACCTCACCAGCCACCGTCACTTCCGGTCACTGCTGTCACTTTCAGTCTATGGACTAATGCCGATCCATGCCGTCGGTCATTGACCAACACCCTTCCAATCACTCGACCGAACGTCCCAACAATAATTCGGCACTCATCAGCAACCACCCGCTCTTGTCAAATGTCCACCTGGCCACGCGATTCCCGCCACTACCACACGCTTCCCTCCCCTGCGACCTCTGACCGGCGACTGGGCGCCCACCTCCGCTCTCCCCGACCGACGCGACGGCTCCGACGAGGGCTCGAACGCGCCGCGGTCGGCAGCACGAGGGACGCCGTTATAGGAGGCCCCCTCTGGTCGTGAGCTATTGACACTTACACGGCGCGGCTAGCTGAGAAAGAGTGCGAGCCAAGGAGTGCAGTGCCCACTTAGCGATAAAATAATTGTGTTGGTTATTTGAATTTTAATAATGAAATATATTTAACAGGTGGGATCAGGGTGACACAAAAAACCGGTCATCACCAAATTTCGAATAACTTCGGAAGTTTTATTCAGATCATCACCAAACTTCGGCCACTTAAGGTCACACCTATGTAGCATACATCCACCAAGTTTCAAGTCTTCACTACGAATACTTTTAGTACAGTGTGTGTTTTACTGACGCTCCACAATGTGCTCCAGGAGCGCCACGGCGCTGCAGGGCGTAGGCACACTTGCATCCGGCGGGCAAAGTTGTCGATAACCCGATGGCTGTGCACTTTACATAGTACAATGGCCTCTGGAGACAGTGCTCAGGGGGTGTGCTACCCCTGAAACGTTATTCTTATCGGGTTATCGGCAACTTTGCCCGCCGGATGCAGGTGTGCCTACGCCCTGCAGCGCCGGGGCGCTCACCTGGAGCACATTGTGGAGCGTCCGTAAAACACACACTGTACTAAAAGTATTCGTAGTGAAGACTTGAAACTTGGTGGATGTCTGCTACATAGGTGTGACCTAAAATGGCCGAAGTTTGGTGATGATCTGAATAAAACTTCCGAAGTTATTCGAATTTTGGTGATGACCGCTTTTTTGTGTCACCCTGTAGGATAAAAGTAAAATCAACACGAAGAATATTGAAAGTCGGCACGTTGCGAGAATTTCCTAATCATCCATAACCATAGATAACATTTGTTTCAGCAACAATTTCTCAAATATCAATCATTTATTAACAAAAATAGACGCAATGGTTGCATATAAAGCTGCGGTCACCTGCCGCACAAGTTAGCAACAAAAACGAACTAATGAGAATATCACATACGATCAGACCCCTGGTAACACAAAAAGACACATCCATAATAGCACGTGAGTCCACGATATCACCAACTCAGAGCGCTCCGGCCTCAGGGCCCCAGCAGTCACACGGTCCCAGACACAGCAGACACGTCTGTGTTTCCATGTGCGTCACGGGGGCCGTCTGCGTGTGCGACGTGAGCACATCAGTACGGTCATCGCTCCACCAGGGTGTCTGAGTCTGCGAGTCGTCCGTTAACCACGGCGTCTGCGTCTGTATGTCCGTACCGGAGAGTTCAGAGAGCTCGGGAAAGAGCAGCTGCTCTTCCTCGGAGCGCAGCATGTGTTTGATGACGTCGAAAGGATCCTGAGTCTGTGTCTCCGCCGACAGCATGTCCGTCTCGGTCTGAGAGCCGGCCGCTGGAGGGACGCGGGTCGGTGCGAGGAGGGGCTCGGATGGCCGCAGCTCGGCCTGCTGTCGCCCGCGCTGGGTTGAGAGTGGCTTATGTGGTGGTAGTGAATGCCTGTCAGCCTGCTGCGCCTCCCAGAGGAGCTCCTCTAGTGGCACCGCTTTGGTTTGCTGTGCCATTTCCATTTTAACCGGCTTCCAACCGCCTTCAGTCTGTGTCTGACAGTTGGTCAGGCCCTCCGTAGCGACCTGCGACTCCCAGAGAAGGTCCTCCAGCGGTACGGACTGGGTCTGCTGTGCCGTTTCTATCTTGACCGGCTTGGACCTATACTCAGTCTGGGTCTGGCAGCTGGTCAGACCAGAGGAATCGGTCTCTGCCTCCCATAGTAGCTGCTCCAATGGCACAGCCTTTGTCTGCTGTGCCACTTCAATCTTTACCGTCTTATACCTCTGCTTAGACCTATATTCAGTCTGGGTTTGACAGTTAGTCGGGCCAGATGTGCCAGTCCCTGCCTCCCAGAGTAGCTGCTCCAAAGGCACAGCTTTCGTCTGTTGTGCCATTTCCATTTTCACTGGCCTGGGCCTGTCCTCCGTCTGAGTCTGACAGTTGGTCAGACTAGCTGCAGCGGCCGGCGCCGGCCACAGCAGGCCCCATACCAGCGGCGGGCCCGCCTGTGAGGCTGCCGACGCCGCTGCCACCGCCACACACTGCGAGCCGGCCGTGCGACAGGCCGGCGGTGCCGTCTGCCCGGCCGTACCGCTCGTCAGGCGCGTCTGTGTGCCACTGGAGCGGCCACCGCGCGGGGCACGACGAGCTGCAGTCTGGGTGGCAGCGTCACATGTGTTCACTTGACGAGCGACTCGGGCAGGCAGGGCGGCCAGGGCGATACTGGCGAGCAGGTGAAGGGCGTCCGGGGACGGCTTGGGCGCTAGTCGACGGAGACCTTCGGTACCCAACAGCTGCGTCCTGCCGGCGAGAGAGAAAAGATGACGCCACTGTACCTCGGCGACCACCGACAAGACAGAATACATAGCTGAACGGGCCGGCCGGCACCGAGCAACATAATTAAAGCAGCACCACGACACAGCCCAGCTGTTACTGTAAGTGATGACCACAAACGGATGAAGCCAGATTTCGGCAACACAATTTAAACGATGTCATTGAATAAATGAGCTTAGGGAGCACATGGTATGCATACTGAGTGGACAGACAGGGAGACATTTCCATACATATGGGTGCAAAGCCGATTAAACTTAATGCTATAGCCAATAACCATATTGCGTTACTTTCTGTCTAACAAACTATGCACCGAATGACAACCATACAACATATATCAAACCGCACAAATACAAATGCCTGTGGAAACAATGGACGGTCATTGTAGTCCCTTAGTTAGCCCATCGCTTATGAAGTTAATTCCTCACCCGACTCGCTATTTTGTGGTTTGCCCACCTAACTTCGGTGCGAGCGAATCCGTATCTCTGCACAAATTACGAGACCGAGTCACGTGCTAGGTGTAACACAGAAAGTGCAACGTAACTACGATACTGCAGGGCTGGTCATTTGATCCTGTACCTCGTAGACCAGACATACATACGGACATATCCCAGAAGTACATGACGTCCGAGTGATCGCTCACCTGTCTTTCAGCGTCGTGCTGTGACCGTACTTGGCCGCGTGGCTGCGCAGTGAGCGCACGTTGGAGTACTGCGCGCCGCAGCTGCACTTGAACTCGGCAGCGCAGAGGCGCCAGTGAGCGCGCATTAGCGCCTCGCTGGCGAACGACGCCGTCTGGCACTTGGGACAGAGCAGCGTGCGCGGCGCGTGCACCTTCAGGTAGTGCTGTGGGGCGGGACACAGGGGCTCGTTATTGAAGGATATCAGCTTCAGTGGACATTAGCCGGCTTAGTCTGCTTCCTTGTACGACGAGAAAGGCAGGACAGTTTGGCATGAGCAGCAGGCCAACTCTAACCAGATACAATGGATTCATCAATAATATTTGGCAGAAGAATGAAGTTTAATGGACTGAGCTGAGAGTGCCCCACAGTTAAATTAACAAATATAACAGCGAATGATCAGCGTCCACTGTACAGCATTTCTAAACGCTAGTGCTGATGAGTCTGTAACACCACGTCCTGCCCGCGCCCGTGTACCATCTCCACAACACACCTGTTTGAGCGCCTTCAGTGACCCGAACTGGGCCTTCTTGGACACACCGGAGCTCAGACAATCCGGCTCCGGACATATGAACACAGCCGTCGGCGGCAGGGCGGTCGAGCTGCCGCGTATCGCCCTCTTCCCGTGCCGGCGCAGCAGGTGGAAGCGCAGCGCGGACGGCTGCGGCATGCGGCGGCCGCAGCCGGGCTCCGGACACAGCAGGTCGCGCTCCGGAGGCCGCAGTAGCTCCTCGGCAGTGGGTCTCACCACCGGACCCACCGGCTCGCCGCCGCCCGGGTCATCCTCCGAGCACATGGCTGACGCAGATGGTGCACCTCTGTTATGGTGTGGTGTCCACTTTCCAGATAAGAGAGTGTCCACTTTCCAGATCAGAGAGCACAAAAAGGCTGGATATTGTGAAGAGTGGCTGAAGGCTGGAAATAGAAAATAGTGGTAATATCTCACATAGCTTGACATAGGTGCCTGTTGGCAAGGAATATAGCCATGGCCCATAAGAGAAGTGGGCCTAACCTAAAGGACAGGCAACTGGCCGTCCCTCTGTTAACCCGCGCCCGGCTGGGGGTCCTGGATTTCCACGCCCTGCTGGGGGGGGGGGGGGGTGTGTGAACACACACACCCCCCTTCTAACTCGACTCCTGGGCCACGTAGCGATACGCGGAAGGCGGCGTTCGAAAGAGCGCCACAAATAATGACGAAATCACTTCGGTCAATTTTTTGGTCAGGTCAAAGGTCAGGTCACCAGAGGTCATTGAAGGCAAAATTTTGCCGATTTCCAGGTCGAATGTCGGCAATTTCCAAGAAGCCAACGCATAACTCGGGAACCAATAGAGCTACAGCGCCGCGGGAAAGCGCATTCGATAGCCCTATTAACGTCCTTTCTGAGTAATTTTCTCAGATTTGACCTAACGTCAACAGTTTTGCCTGCAGGGGGCAAAAACTGCAAAAAAGCCGATTTTTTTCGGAAACAGTTTTTCTGCAATAACTTTTGACCCAAGCCTTGTACGAGCTTACTTTTACCGGCATCGTGTTCCTCTTGTCAAGACGCATCGAATGAACTATAACTTTACCTTGAAAGGTCAACTTGAAAATTTGACCTCAGGTCAAGGTCATGACCTGACCGGAAAGGGTCATGTTGCATATCAGTCGATCCGTATCGTCGAGCTGAGCACATCTAAGGCGTGTTCATCGCTCTAGCATGCCTCTATCAAAAGTTATTTGCGAAAAACTGTTAGATACCATTCGTGACCTAAGATGACCTCAGGGACATAAACAGGGGTCACAGACACCATTTTCATGTTCAGTGTGTCTAAACCACTTGAAATTCAGTGTTTGGGAGTGTTTATAATGGCATTTGTCCAAAAGAGGCGCATTTCAATTTTCTCCCTGTGACTTATAATGGGGAGGTCGCAAAATTGACCTGACCTTAGGTCATCGATATCAAACTTCTGAGATATACATTTTGTACATGCTATTGCTCTTAGCAATCGCTAAAAGTTTCAAAGCGATCGGTCACTCGGTGTAGCTATGGCAGACATTGAAACTTTTTATGAGGTGAGGTCACTTCAAGTGACCTGGTGACCTGACCTTGAATGACCTTGGTCTGAACTTTTCACAACATGTGTAGAATTGATGTATGATAAGGTGTACCAAAAACAGCCCCCCCCCAGCAGGGCGCGGGTTAACAGTCACAGGTCACTCCACCAAAAGCATGAGTCTGCTCCAAATGGGAGTTACTCATAACCCAAGTTTGATGATGGTACTATTCGAGCCCTGGACAGCTAATGTTTTGGGCTCTGAGCCCTGAGGGCATGTAGGTACAATACATCTTGAGGGTAAAGAAGAGATATGAGACAATATATCAATATCAACCTTGAATACTAAAAGCTACAGCCCACATAACTGATGCAAATACTTGGTAAATACATTGACAAGACAACAGCTCTGAGAAAATATTATACTTAGGTACTTTCAGATCAGAGGGATAGGGACAATTTAGGCACATTTTTTATATTTTTTATAAATTTAGTCCAAACCTTTTGATGGGAAGGATTCACAAGGACAGAGCCACCACTTAGCGAAGCTCGTTGCGATGACCCTGCCCTCTACCCTCCGATCGCGCAATTCCGATTCTATGGCAGAATTTAGAGTCCAAAGTTTAACGTGCGCACAAAGCCGCGCACGGCCGGTCCCCTCGCTGACTTCGCCTGGCTACAGCCTGCCACCAACCGCAACCATACCTGTCAGGAGGCCCATAAATGTCGAGCGCCCGTCGCGCTTCGAACCCGGACTGTTATAACCGGGAACGCGTGCTCTCACCACGCGGAGTCCAACGCTCTAACCAGCTGAGCTACGGGACTGGCATATCTGTAGAAAAATGAAAGCATCAATAGTTGATTTTAGATGCCCATTTGATGGCTGGAACTTGGAAGTGAGGCACCTAATGTCGCCTAGCATGCTGCAAACAAACAGACAGCCAAGCTAAGGCCGCGTTCGATGTCTCTTCGGACGAAGAACATTCCACGCAGAATATTCTATTTTGCGTTCGATGAAGCACACAGTCGGACGACGAGACCGGCCATTTTATGCGCCACTTACACAATGTGCGTCAGTTTCGAAAAAGGTCCAAGTTTACGTTTCCATAGAGACCGCGCACAAATGTCAACAACTTCTGCAAACAGCTGCTGCGCCGCTTTTGAAATACGCGCCACCATTGCCTCTCTGCCCACCGTAGTACGCTCAAAAGATTCTGCGCGGACGGCAAAGATTCTACGTGATGTCACGTAGAATCTTTGCTGTCTGTGTGACATCGAACGCCATTTTGGGCCCAGACGGCATAGAATCTTCGCCGTCCGGGAGACATCGAACGCAGGGTAAGGCCATCAGTCAGTGAAGCTGGGCAAATCAAATGTGGCACCAGCCTCCAGCAGTCAAGGGACCAGGAGCAGTGCGGGCTTTGCTGGAAAATCAAAAATGAAAATGAAATTGGTGGAAATAGCCCTATTATGACTTTACACTTTTTGTTTTGAGAATTTCTGCAGTTCTAGGATGGTGTTCAAATCTTTATGGCTGGAAACTTACTATGCTTGACAAGCATTTAGTTCAAAAATGTACAAAGCTATTTTTCAAAAGAACATCACACTGTGTCCTGAAAAGATAATGAGAATTGAGAAAGGAAAATATTTTATTTGAATGCACGCTTCACACTCACAGTGTGTAGAAGCTTACAAGCCTTTAAAATGAACGTGGGTAATTTCCTCCTTTTGCGCCATTTAATAACTTGAAAAAATTCACAAAACAGAGACATCAGAAGATTTAACAAATAACCAACTCATCCTTCTAAGGCAAAAAAGGTGAGGCTACACATCAAAACTTACGATACTTTTGTGATGATTTCACCAACGTCAGAGCTTCATATTGATATAGCAAGCTAACCAAATATATGACCAGCTATTTAGCCAATTTCACTAAATTGCAATATAAACAGACATAATATTAAAAACGTCGTGTGCAAATGCTTCAAGGAAACTGCTTTTACATAAATGGCGCGTGTGCTCCAAAATAGACAATGCAAAGGGGAATAGGACCACTAAAAACTAACTCGTGAGATATGTGCGTACTAACTGGCAATGTTCCTGGGTATTTGTGCACCATTGTTTTGATTTTACTGCAGCTAAATAAATCTTAAATACCATTTCCGAATTTCCTTTTGAAATCCTTGCTCACATGAGATGAATCAGCGCCAGCAGCCAAAAGACAACCGCCTTGTATTGAACGATATGCTGTACTTGGTCCAAGTTTGGTCCGAGGTAAACTTTGCCTACATTTCTTGTCAGAAAAAAAACACATTTCACTCGCCTCTAGGTCATAACAATAACATAGAGTCACTCAAAAGGTCCTCTGGATCGACGACACCATGTGTAAGCATCTGCATTGATCGATATATTATATGGAATATACCTATGGAATATGGATGCTGGGGTCCAGCCTCCAAAATTCTTATAGCGCCACCTACAAATAAATGTTAGTGCGTATAGTGCCCTCTACCAGCCACAGACTACAGCTGAAGGCACTCGCTCAGGCTCAGGCACTGCACAGTGCACTGGTATTATGCGGTTTTAACCCTAGCCCTGGCAGGGGAGCAGTCGATCGACCCCCGCCCCCTCAGTTTTTTTTTTGCGATGCGCGCCGAACTATCAGTCGGACCGTGCTGAAATTTTCAATAGCTTCTGGGTTTCATTAGCACAACTTTTGGGAAAAAAAAACATTTTCGGGTCATTTCATGTCAGGTCACCGCGAGCTCTAGGACGTCATAATAGGTAGATACAATGTCCGTCGTCCGACCGTTTTTGACAAAATCGTAGGTACAGCGAAACTAAACATTATCTCATCGTCAAGAACGAGTTACGAAACTATTTCGTGTATTTATGTCAGAATTTGATTGGACATGAATCTTTGCATTGTATGTTGACCTTTCTAAGGTCAAACAAGGGCAATGACGTCGCATGTTCGCACGCTGACCTCCGTGATATGAGTTGTTTCGTACTAGAAGTCAGAGACGGATCCAGCTAAGAGTTTTTTTTTGGGGGGGGGGGGGCAAACCAAACAATTTATCGATTCTTTCCATGCATCGTCCATAGGCGTAATGTTAAAATCATGCCGTTTGGGGGGGGGGGGCAAATGCCCATTTTGCCCCCCCCCCTGGATCCGCCACTGCTAGAAGTTTCTTGGCGTCCTGAATCCAAATCTGTGGCTCAATTTTCACAGAAACGCGTTCAAAACTGTTCCTTGACCTTTACTAGGTCAACCCAAGTCAGCTCTCGATATTCGCGACCGTCCTCGCCGGCGGCCGGTGTGACCTCCCATGTTCCCTGGGAATGCGTCACGCCAGTAATGACTGAAATGTAATCAACTGTACGTCATTTTCTTGCTAATTTGTTTAGAAACACGGTCGTGAAAGTTTTATGTCGCTATCTTTCATAGATTCGCCAATATTGCTTAGTAGTTAACTTGGAAAATTAGAGCTTTTCCCCGAAATTTGACCTTTGACCTGCCAAAACTGGGTCAAACATTGTGACCTAGCCCGGTGGTCTGTGTTTTCCGGGTCGTGCTGGGGGATGGGGGGGGGGGCGTTTTCACGCCCGCTTCTCTAACTCGGCACATGGGCCACGTAGCGACACCCGGTAAGCGGTAATCGAAAGAACGTCAAAAATAATGACGGAAACACTTATAATACTTTTTAGGTTAGGTCAAATGTCAGGTCAACAGAGGTCACCAAAGGTCATATTTAGTCCATTTAAATAATTTTGGAAACTGTCAACGGCTAACTCGGGAACCAATAGAGCTACAGCGCAGCAGAAGCGCATTCGATAACCCTTTTACACACCTTTCTGAATATTCCTCTCAGATTTGACCTCGTGCTATCGGTTTAGCTTGCAGCGGGTAAAAAAACTGTAATAATAGCCGTTTTCATGAAAAAAAAATGTTTTTCGGCAATGACTCTTGACTCAAAGAAGCTACATTACTACACGACATCGTGTTTCTCTCGTCGAGACGGCCGAATGAACTTTTTTTTACCTTGAAAGTTCATTTTGAAAATTTGACCTCAGGTCAAGGTTATGACCTGACCGAAAAGGGCCATGTTGCATAACCCAAGCATGACTGGGGGGGGGGGGCTCTACAGAGCCCCCTCCTGTTTTTCGGCAATATCTTCTAAACCGTTTCACGGATCAACACGAAACTTGCAGTACCCTCAGCGACATCGATTTGACACCTTGTGTTAAAAGTTCAACTTTCTAGCTACCATATTCTGGCCGGAAATGACGTCAGAGTGACGTCATGTCGGCCGATGTTGATGCAAAATATTGAATTACGGCAAAAGCTCTCAAGAGCTTAGTTTTAAAGCTAGATCCAATTTATTTGCATCAGTGGTCTACAAGTACACGTAGCTATCAAACTGCTATCTCGAATTTTCGAAATTTTGAAAATTTTGAAAATATGTTTTATTAGATACAAAAAAATATATTTTGTGTTTTTTTTTTCAAAAAAATAGCTTTTTCGCAAAAATCGGAATGTATGTGATAGAATACACACTGATGAACTACTCTAGCAAGTTTTAGCCCAATATCTTCAAAAATAGCCAAGTTATTTGCATTATTGTCAAAATTTTACAATTATATATTTTTCAAAACCATTTTATTTTTCAGCACGTTTTTGAAATCATACAGCAATATAAATGCCACCATCGTGTCCCTGAGCTCAAACCGCATCTGATAGGCACCTTTTTTGTAAAAAGAAAATGATTTTCAAAATTTGACCTTTTCTGACCTGAAATTGACCTGACCTCCGGTAAATTCAGCTGAAGATGACCTCAAATGACACACACGACATTATTTTCGAAATCGACGTGTAAAATGGACCATAAAACATGCGTCACGTGACCGATACATGATATACAATTTTCGTGACCGAGGATGACCTGGCCTTGACCTGAAAAATTTGAGGTTAAAGTTTGTTACCCTCAGGGTATCTAAGTCATATATCAAGGAGTGCGTAAACCAAAAATGAGCCTGATCGGACCTGTCAGCCGGCGGCCAGAGCCTAAATTGTAAACAAGCAAAAATGCCGATAATTTTTACTTTGACCTGACCTGTGATGTCATCGGTGACCTCGAGGTCAATGCAAATAGGTTTCGCTCGAAAGTTTTTCCAGGGCTATCAGACGCCGTTTGAATTTTGACGATCGGCCCAGTAGTTTCGGAGATAGGAGGGGGAGGGCTCTGGAGAGCCCCCCCCCCCCCCTCAGTCACTCGCGGTATGGAAAATACCCCAGTCATGCGCGGGATAACTGTCGATCCGTATCGTCGAGCTGAACACATCTGACGTATTTTCACCGCTCTAGCACGTCTCTATCAAAAGTTATAGCAAAAAAAAAAAACTGCTGGTGACCGCTAATGACCTGAGATGAGCTCAGGGGCACACAGAGGAGTCACATGTGCATGATTCAGTGTGTCATGTTTACCTACTGAACCGATGTTTGAGAGGGTTTTGAACGACATTCGTCCAAAAGAGGCGCATTTCAATTTTCTTCCATTGACGTATAATGAAGAGGTCGCAAAATTGACGTGACCTTAGGTCACAGATCAGATATCAAAAATCTAAGTTATATATTCTATACATACTGTTACCTTTATCAATCTGTGAAAGTTTCAAAGTGATCATTCAGTCGGTGTAGTAATAGCGAGCCTTTGAAATTTTTGTGAGGTAAGGTCACTTGACGTGATCTGGTCACTTGACCTTGAACGCTCCGGGTCTGAAATTGTAACAATATGTGCGGAAATGATGTATAAACAGGTGTACAAGAAACGGTGACGCTTCGCGCCACCGTTTTTGAAATATTCGCGAAAAACCTGAGATGTGGGCAAAAACGCCCCCAGCACGGCGTGGGCTAGGGTAAAAAATGTGCATATACCACCTATCGCGAGTACTCGTTGAGAGCAATCGACTGGTTTTTGTTGCGAAGCGCTACGAAGCTTAGCTTCGCAACACGAGGGAGTGTCCTGCCAGGGCGAGGCTTAAAGTTCGGGACATAATTGGTAGAAAGTAATTGGTAAGCAGGGTTGGTTTTCCATTTAACCCGGCCAGGCCCGGGGGTAATCCCAACCACCGCAGCCCGGGGGGGTCATTTCCCCCCTGTCTAACTCCGTAAATAAGGGAGCTAAGCAAACAGAAGCGATACTAAACGAAAGGTCCTTACGAGACGATTCCAAAGCACTCAAAATTTTTGACCTCAGGTCAATTTCAAGGTCAGAGGTCAAGGTCAAAGGCAAAAACCGGCACATGTGTAGTGATCTGAAAGTAAGCGTTCTAGAGGACGGCAGGATGCATAAAACCGGCAAAATTGGGTATCAAACGAAAGAAGAGAATTTGAGAATTCCGAAAACGTGCTCAAAATCAAAGATCAAGGTCAAGATCATGCTCAAAATTGACCTCAAACTTTGCAATTTTTTGTACATCTTGCGTGCTAAATACCCAGATGTTTTGAAACGTTTTGAGGCTCATCAGGTCCCTATTTGTGGTTCATCTTACGATACAAGGCTACTGAAAGGTCAAGGTCACAGAAGAGTATCCTTGCTAGAGGCTATTTCACTGATTCAAGTTAGTAATAATAAATAAGACAATTTTGCCATCCGGAGGCTCTAAATTAACCCTCGCCGGCCGAGGGGGGGGCGGGTGCCGCCCCCCCATAGGGTTTTTTCGCGATAGCTCCGAACACACTGGCGATAGAGAGCTGAAACTTGGCATACCTGACCTTTGATCCAAGCCGGATCTTTTGACACCAACCGCATTTTTTGGTCAGGTCAGGTCACTGACCTATGACGTCATAAGTGAACCTCTGCACGGTCTTCAGATGTCGCAACTTCGCAACGCCCTCACTGCCAGAGGAGATGTCACAGGGAAATGA